CTCTCTCTCTCTCTCTCTCTCTCTCTCTCCTTTCTCTCTCATCTTTCTCTTTTTTTCTCTCTCTCTCCTTCATCTACTATCGTTTCATTGGATGCCATCATAATGTAAGATTATAGAAATGAAATGTTTAGTAGCATCCAATAATGTCCCTAATGGGAGCCATGGAAAAATATTCAAAAAAACTAAAGTGACTCACAGCTCTAAGAAAATTTCTCTGGCCTGAGTTCAAGGCTCAGTTCCTAAAAAAAAAAAAAAAAAGGAAGCAAAAACTTGTGGGGATAGAAAGGTAATAAATATCATCTATCAACAATATGGTTCATGAAATTTGAAAAGATGGTCAGAAAAATATATGAAAATATCAAGGCCCAAAGAAAGCAGTGGTGACTTGGGAAAAGAACAAGGTAGATGACCTCATCCTGGGTATTCAGATTTAGAGTTACAGAAATTAACAATTAGAATCCTTGCAAAATACAGCACTGGAAGAGGAGCGCAAGGGCAGGTTCCCTTTGCTATCCCTCTTACTAAGGGGTCACAAGCCTATAATGACAGGAAATTTGTAGCTAGCCCATTTGACATCTAAATAATTCTATTAAAATCAATAAAACTTTTGAAGTGGAAGTATGTCTTCTTTTATTGTCTTATAACAGGTCTTAATTTCCGTCTTAGGGATCATATAGAAAATACCTTGTGTCTCTCTTAAATACCAATACTTACAACGTTATTTTTCTCTCATCGATCCCTCTGATCCTGAGGTTGAGTTGTTTAATATCCAGACCCCAAGCAGTTGCACGAAGTGTCCCTCTCAGCTTTAGGGAACGCTCAATAGACATGACAAGTGTGGGCACCCCATGCACTTCACATCTCAGAACAACGCTAAGATGGGGGCACCCAGGCCCCTTTACCATGAAGTAAGCTATCTCTCTAATCCAGAATATCTGAAGCCCCTCTCCTCTCACCAAGTGGGACACATTCTGAGACCCTCAGGGGATTCCAGATGTCACAGATAACACAAGATCCAATATATACCATGTTCCTACATCTATGCACCCAAAATAAAGTTTAATTTATAAATTAAGTGTGCTAAGAGGTTAACAACAATAACCCCTAATAAAATAGATTATAAGAATGTACTGGGATGAAAGATATGCAAATGCAGCCTTTGTCTTACTGTACTGTACTCACTTTTTATGACAATAGGAGATACCTACATAATACTATAAAGGAGGTAAATGCGGGACTTGTGACGTAGCATTAGAGAACTACATATGCGTTATCTGAATCCTCAGCAGCCACTCAGATAAATGAGACAATGACAAAGCAGCCCACAGGCAAGTAACACGTATGACAGGGATATGATCGACAAAAGGATGATCATGTCCCGAGACAGGACAGAGAGATGGCAAAACACATCACCATACTGCTCAGAAGGAGCCCAACTAAAACCTTACGAACTGTTTATTTGTAGAACTTTTATGTCGTATTTTTGAACTGCAAATGGACTTAGGTAACTAAAAATGAAACCACAGATAAATGAACTCAGCAAGCCACATTCTCAAAAAAGAAAATAAAAACCAAAATGAATGTAATTCTAAAGAAAATAGCACGCTCAAAAGAAAGACATTTTATTAAGAGAATGTCATAAAGCAT